AAAAATCTCTAGAATTCTGCTTCCAGCTGCAAAATTTACCATACATAAAAGATCTGATTTGTCCATCCCATTGTGTTTATGGTTGTCAATATACTGCAAAAATCTGACGTAAATCACTTGAAAATTTGATGCTAAAAATCATGTCTCTAACTTTTTGATTTTATTTTTTCATGGTGATGCTTTTGTGAACCTCACTAGCAAGATTTGCTGTTAATTTAGTTCACTTGAGGAATTAAGTATTACTGGATTCTTTCCTTACTTTTTTCCCAATCACAAACTGCCTCAAATAAGCTAACACAAACATTATGGACTCTGGACATTTTTTTTTTTTATAAATTTGATCTGAAATTATGATAGCTTATGCACAAATTGGAAAAATTAAATAAAAAATATAAGAAAAAAAAAATTGCGTCTTGTTGGTCGATTTCATTAAACATGTTTGAATATAAAAAAGAATAAAAACTTGTAATTCCAACAGATAATTTGTTGTTAAAACATTTCGGAAAACTATTGCAATCATTGATCACTCTTGAGAAATAATTGAAACCGTGACTAAGCTACATTTTATACGTTATAAATTCAAATTAACAAAAATAATTTGATTGAATTGAATTCGCAAGACATGTATCAGCTGAAAGTGTGAGAATTGCTTAAAGAAAGAAAGAAATGTCATTTCCAAACCATAGTTGAAAAAAACATACTCCTAGTTTTTTCGTATTTTCCATTGAAGTAGGGAAGTCCATGTTGGGTGAAACTGTGCTGCATCAATTCTATTACAGACATTTTCAGTATGTGCTACTATTATTTATTCAGCTACCTGACTTTGGTTGAATTTGTGTTGATTGGTCAATTTTATTTCAGGTTGGTCAAAATCTAAGACCTGAAATGGACATTCATAATGTGCGATGTCATTTGTTTACATTTGGATACACTTCATTGTTGTGATGTGATTGTTTACATTTGAATACACATCGAACAGATATGAATGTATGAAAGAAAATCATGGAAAATTGTTGTTTAAAAGCAGTAAAATTGACCTTGCTAACCGAAACGCTCCTTTGTGGCTAAAATTGGTAAAGCACGTCAGGCTATATGACGGTTCTGTGTAGGATACAAGTTCGATTCCTGTTGGAGGTCGTCTAATTTCTATGAAAATTTCTCGGACATTCAGGCCAGTAAATGTCGTTAATTCTGTTTATTATAAACAGAGCATTTACTTCAATAATTGTACCTATAAAAAGAACGTATAAACATAAAAAATGTCTTAAAAGCTAGATTATATAAATATCAACACCAAACGTTACAAATAGTTTCACTGTAATATACTGAATTAATGTTTTATTAAAAAAAAAGTTTTCATAACAATCCATAAAGTTAAGGATTCTATAAAATTAAAGCAACTGTTCTTCCATATTTCCAGTAATTGGCACAGGATTCAAAATGTTTAGTTAAAGAAACATCTAAGGAAACCTATCAATGTATTTAAAACAAGATTTTTTTCCTATATTTTATTTAATACTTACAATACATTTTGCATTAATGACTTTTGTAAAATGTATGTTTTCATATAATTATTTATTGTCAGTTAAACATAGAATGGGGATGTTTATTTCCTTAAGGAATAGTTCATTCAACAGATTTCAATGGTCACGTACTCTTTTGAGGCTTTTAATCAGAGCTACAGATTTCGCAGCCGATGTATTTTATTGAAATTCCACATGAAAGGGCATTTTTTTTTCCTTATTTCCAAAATATATCCCAGCATTGAAAACATTAAGCAGGTTTGCATATGATACATCATTGTACACTTTTAATTCTAGATTATCACCAGGTTTCAAGAAGGCAATATTATATGGTTCAATTTTACATTATACAACTTTGTTAATACAAAGAATGTCTTAAATTTTGCGATATTTTTTTTTTTTAAATATTTAAAAATTTTTTTTACTTTTAAAAAATTTTTTTTTTACTTTACTTTTTTATTTATTTATTTATTTTTTTTTTTACTTTTTTAATGTGCAAAATGCATTGTCATCAATATAAGAATTTTGATAAAGAACAATGTGGTTATGTTGAATTTTCAAGCCTGTTCACATTCCATCTGCCACCTTACCAATTTTGAAAGCTACATAAAAAAAGGCCAGAAAGATGATCATTGTGATACTAGTAAAACAAGGCTGGATCTTTTTTTTTTTAGATTATTTGCATCCAACTTTATTTTTAATTCTTTTTACACATTGAGATAGCATCTTCTTGAGGCATCTTTCAGCCTATGCACTCATTTCTTGAGAAGCAATATTGTCTTCCAATCACTGGTTAAAACACATCAAGCCTGGTCAGTACCTAGATGAGTAACTGTTTGTAGATACCAGGTGTAATCTTGGTTGTGTGGCTGCTGTAGCCTGGTATTGAACTCATAACTCTTTGGGTCTAGTCACTGGATCTAACCAACATCTTTATACACTGGTGGATAAAATACCAGGCTACAGCAGTGGTGAAGCAAAAAAAAAAAAAACTTGGAGTGTTGAGTTAAAGGGGAATAACTGAGACATCCGGAAGAGGCATAGCATGTGGAACAAAACAAAGAGTTTGGTTTGAAATTCCAATCACCTGAAGAAGGCTGGAGTGTACAATGACCGAAACGTTGTGAATATGTCAATGAAGATGAGGATAACAGTTCAAATAATGTAAATAATGTAAATATTCCCAGTTTTGTTTAAAAGTTTGTGTCTTTTATGATAGACTGAAATTTACTCCATATGTTAAGTCATACACAATTTTTATCAGTTGCTTTAAAACCTCTTCTGATAATTTTGCTTCAAACCAAGATGAAATAAATCAAACGCTGCGTTTATGGTTTTAAACAGATTTATTGCCAGAAGTGGAAAGCTTGTTACATCGATGCCATGTTTAAATTCTTTTTCTCCTGAAAAAGATCAATAACTAGGTTGTCTTTTTATTTACCATAATTCCTGTATGTTAAGATGCATCTTTTCCCTTGAAAATTACCGTAAAATTCACTCTGTGTTTTAGCACTGAAAGGTCAAATTGTAGGGAGGGGTTTGCCAACCCTAACAAACCCCAGTCACGAAATACAAGCAATCTTGAACTCCAGACATAATTTATAATAAGCCTAAAATTATCATTCATATATAATGTAATAAATACTGTATATTCTGTTAGTATCATACCATATATATATATATATATATATATATATATATATATACACACACACCATATATTTCCATGTACAAGACAACCTTTAAATTTCCAAAATCACCCTTAAAAATTGGGAGTCATCTTATACATCAATTCTAAAAAAGAAACTTTAAATTCTGAGTGTTGTTAGGATAACCTTGGCCCCGGTGCAATAATCAATAACACACATGAAAAGATTTACATTATGTTATTCATCGCCCCCTTTCCAAGATCATCTGACTCAAAAGGTGAATTCAAAATAATATGCATATATTATTGAAAATCTTCATTCTTTTCCATATTAGTACATTTTACATGGATTATTTTATAGAGAATATTTTTTAACACTCATGATGGGCTCCAAATTCTCTAAATAATAAAAACAAGAAAAAGTTAAATGTTTTTTTTTCCCCCCTCACTCTGCTGAAACCTTGAAATTCTCCTCTGGTTGAGAAACTCTGAACTAAGCATACCGTACGCTAACTTCACAAACCCCAGCCACATAATGCAGGATGACAGACATACCGTACGTACGGTAAATAAAAAAAAAAAAAAAAAATGAGCGAAGGGAGGTAACTGGTATTTACTCCAGGATAAACAGACGCAATATGGCTAATAGTCCTATACATCAGAAGATATATCACTTTTCTGAAATTTGTTTTTGTTTTCAGTTATTCAATCACTTATTTTGTGCTATTCATTCACTAATACAATCAACAGGAGACATTTATTTTTGTTCACTGGATGCCTTATTGATTTCATCATTACATTGATAATTAATTTTTGAAGTTTGAGATTTTTCTTAATCCAAGTAACATGAATGAAGATTTCTACTGTATCGGTTGTTTTTAGAATGTGATTAAACTATTTTCTACTGCCATTTGAAAGGTATCTCCATATTCTATTTCATTTTCCATGATTCCCTCACAAATTGCTGCTAATTTATTTTTAATTTTCACATACACCTTACAATGTCCATATAATGAAAACCAACTCTTAATTCTTTATACAGATACAATTTTAACATGTCCGTTTTGATGGCATTAATACAATTTTGTATCACCCCATAGATTATTTAAAATAAGATTAGAAATCTGTAGGCATACAGACATCATAGGAAACAAACCATGATGTATAAAGAGTGAATTTTGACCCAAGTGTTGTTGCCTTGAGTAAATTAAAAAATGTATTTGTATCCACTAAAACCATTAATATGCAACTTTGCAACAGCCCTTGATTACTTAACTCAAAAAAAAAAAAAAAAAAATGCCAGCTTCTTTTTACTGATCTACTGAAAGTGGGAAGTAGATAAGCTAGAGATCAAATGATTTCCCAACAACTAAAGGGACATAGTACTTTCTCAGTACACATGCCATTATAGTTTACAGGAGAAATGAAAGTAGATTTTATTAAAATGTCAGTTTAAAACATTGTATGTTTGTCCATTTCTACCAATATTTAAAATATAGTCTGTTTATGACGAAAAGATTTTCACAAAAAAATTGACATCACATAAAAATAAAACCATATAAATAGAAATGTAATGTTAATTCTTAAAAATTCCACAATTATTGGAAGTTATATTAATTGACTGACAAATTTCCAACACCATTATAAAATGGTGTCCCCCCCCTCCATATCAGAACAAGAACTTTAAATGTAACCTAATATAAAGACTTATCAGTGTAGAATTTCAAAGAGGCATTTTGTTATGGTAAGAGCCAGTTACTCTTCTTATTATCATGAATGGACTGATCCTTTTATAGTAGCTGAGTGTTGAATACTACTATCATGACTGA